GATTAGAGGGTTAATTTGAGCATGCAGTTAGTCGAATGATGGTTGTTCGATTTGAATAATGTCCTCGTTAAGATTAGGGCGGCTTAAGTGTTGAACAAATAGGCGGGGAACATCATCGGTGTTTCCCCTGCCCAATTTTTGAGCCAATTTAATCCAGGTGCTTAGTTGGAAAAAGCGTGAGTAGAAGAACCAAGCAACGAATATGATTGCTATGATAATGAGGGTCGAAATTATTCCGAAAATTGTGTAAGAGTTAGAGACCATGCGGATGCCCTCAATTTTTAAATTTTTCCAGTTATTATCTATTTTGCTTCTTTCGATAATTCTGTCTGCCTTGTCAATTAAACCGTTAAAGTCTGCGGTATAGTCTTGAATTAAAATATTGTCATGGATGTCAGGGAGGGTGATATTGCTTACTTTTAGTTTTTCGAAAATACTTTCGAGGGTGAAATTAGGAAATTTGAGACCCAAGTCAAGTACATCTTTTGATTCGAATCTGTAGTTGGTTCGTGGGCGAAGGCTAATTTTATCGGTGACAACTCTACATTCTTTTTCAAGCTGAAGAGTGCCACTTTGGGAAAGTTCTTGATATTTTGAAGTTTTACCATGACAGTATTCAGTGACCATGATAGGTTTGTTAATCAGTACATAAAATAGGTCATTGTTGTTTAATGGGACAAAATAGTTTGAATTAGGAATGATTTTGACATCGCATTGTTTTGATAAGACTTCCCTTGTTGGTTTCATAAAGATGCTGATCTCACAGTTATCGCTATATTCGATACGTGCGTTTTCGACAGGTTTCAGAATTTTTTCACCGTTAAGGTTGAATTGGCCGCGGTTGTATTCTTTATAGGTAATCGGAATATATTCTTTTGCTTCGTTGTTTAAGAGAACGTAGTGGAAAACGGGGCTAATTATTACTGTGTGATTATTAATGAGAGTCGGGGTCGGAATGATTTTGAAAACGGTGTAAATTTCGCGTTCGACAATGGGTATGGTGACTTCCAAAAGTAGTCTCTCTTCGTAGAGGGATGCCGCGACTTGAGAATATTTGAAAATATGAAGGGGGTTTTCGGAATTAAAATTAATTGGTAGGCGTTGGTTTTCTTTGAGTTGAGTTTCGATTTGTAATAGGTCTAGTATAAGACGTTCGCTAGGGATTAATTGAGTAATTTTACCCGAAACCACTTCTTCCAAACAGTGGAGGATTTGTTGGGAGATTTTGGCGTGTTGGTTCATAATGAGGTTAACGAGGTGAACGCCACGTGAAAAGAATACCTCGTTTTCGACATTATTTTTCCAAGCTTTATCACTACGGAGATAGTCTTGGGACGCCTTTTTTATGTATTTAATTTGAACATCGAGGTCGTTTATAGTACTGTTGTTGACTTCGATCACTTCCCTAATTAGAGTAGTTTGTTCCTCCAAGATGCTGTGGTAGCGGTTTGAATCATCTTGGAGAGTGTTTATTTTAGCGTTATAAGCGCGAGCTGTTGCGGCGGGCATTAAACCAAAAGCCCAGTGGAGAAGAGATCCGACCAATTCGAGAGCACGTTTAGGTCTTGATGGTTTCTGTTGGTATGCTTCTATATCTAATTCATCTCTTTTCATATTGGTTAGACCGATATTTAAATGTTTTAGGAGGATTTTACACGGGGCGAAATCTTCATAATCCATTTTAGAACAAGGTTCATTGGAGTTATACAAGAATTTTTCTACCATTACAGTTAGTAGCTTATAATCTGATATATCTAAATGGTACAACATGGTATAACTATCGTAAGAAATACGAGCTTCTGACAATTTTATGAATGATAAGCCTATTTGTGGATCTTGTTCTTGAAAGTTGAATGCTGAATTAACCGTGATGTGGGTGACCAGAATAATTAGTACGAATTTAATATACATCTATATGAGAATGAATAAAAAGTCGTAATTAGTTCTACTTTTTTTTTTAGAGTTTTATGCTATAAATCAAATCTATTCTGTGAGTTGATTCTCCATTAAGGTCATCTAAATCAATAATTGGGGTGGATGTGGGAGGTTCGTTGTCGTGGTCTGCTATTGATTTTTTTATTAAATTTTTGTGAATTTTGGTTCGTTTGCCGCTTTTCATTATTTCGACGTAATCGTCTGATGTGTCAGTGACTCTGAATGGGCCGCTATAAACATTGTCGAATTTGTGCTTTTTTACCTGGTTTCTGACCAAAACCAGATCATCAATATTAATTTCTAATGGTTTAGTGTTGGTGTCGTAGTATTGTTTATTTTTCAATTTTTTGTTTAGGAGATGTTCCTTGGCCATTTCCAAAGCTTTTGCTATATTGTTTCGTATTGAGTCGGCGTAGTTATCATAGTTATAGGAGAGTTTAGGCTTTGATAACTGGCAAGGGATTTGGATTCGGAAACCGAATACCAGTTCGTGAGGGGTGTATCCGGTAATTGAATGAATCGAGTTATTATATGCAAATGTTGCGAATTTTAGGAGTTCATTCCATGTGTCTCTATTATTTGATGTGAATGCGCGTAGGTATGCATTGAGAGTTCTATGAGCCCTCTCAACGATATTACTTTGAGGATGGTACGCTGTACTAAATATTTTTTTGATTGAAAAAAGGCGAGTGAGTTCTTTAATAACTTGTGACGTGAAACTGGTGGCGTTATCGGAGACACAGCGTACTATCATAATCATAAACAAATAAGTGGCGACGCTCTACTATAAATAGATGAAATTCACCACGTGCATTTGACAGGTTTGAAAGCCCGTTCATTTGAAATCTGTTCACCACAACGTGCGCAAGTTCTATGCTGTTCTTAAACTGTCAAATATGCGTTGTCAACTTACAACACAACATTACACACTTTTTGAGCACAATCAATCGAGTATTCGTTGCAATTCGTTGTGTGCAGGAAAAAAGAAATTAAAACTTATTTTGGAGCGATAAATGACTGATTACAATATTTAGATTATAATTTATATTTATTTATATATTTATTTATTAAGAAAAAAGAAAATTGAATAGAAAAACATTATCATGAACGACGAAGAGTACGAGGTCCAGAAGATATTGGATAAAAAAGATGAAGGCAACGAGGTACAGACAATTTCTATGATATTTTTTTATCGATAGTGTTTCACAAAAATGTTGCGCCTTTTTAGATTCAGTTCCTGGTAAAATGGAAAGGTTATTCATCCGAAGAAAACTCATGGGAACCGATGGACAATTTGAATTGCAGCCAACTGGTTGCTGAATTTGAACATCGACAAATGAAAAAAGTTGTTGGTTAGTTGTAATCAGTTGTAATTTTCTAATATAACTCTTTATAGAAAATGAATATTTTTGTAATATCTCATGAGAAAAAAATTCTTTAGCTATCTACATATGTATAACTAATTTCAATTAAATATTATGCAGGTGTCAAGCGTATAAATGGCCAATTAGTTTATTTGATGCAAAACAAGAACGACCAACTGGTTGAATTCCCCAGCAATGAGGTTTATGTCTACTGGCCGATGCATCTTATGGATTTCCTTGAAAAGCATATCAAATGGAATATGCCGCCACGTCAAACACGTTTTGATATGCGTAATATTCACGAAGAACTGGAAGAAAATGAAGCAAATGGTCTACCACGTGAAATTTTGTGTGAGTTTTTGGTTATTTTTGTATTCAAAATTATTGTTTTGCTGATAAAATTATTCTGATTGTAGATGCAACCAAAATTTTGAACAGCATCCATTATTTGGCTGGATTTGATAATGGCGTGCGATTTTTTAAATCGAAGGTAGCAAAAAAGGAATGGCCAGAAGTAGTTGTCGACTATTTACAGCCGTTATTGGAAGTTTGATGCAAAAAAAAAAAACAAAAAAAAACAAACGAACAACAAATGTTTTACGGAATACACAATAAAATGATTTCATCCACTTCAACATAATCAAACATCTCTTTATTTTCATTTTGTTCACTTTGAATTCACTTTTGGGCATGAACAATCGAAATTTTAATTTTTACAGTGAATTTCGGTATGTCGCTGCCTTGAATCGGTCAAAAACACAACGAAATTTATGGAAAATGAACGAAGCACTTAGTCTCTGTTTTTAGATCTTTTGAAAAAAAAAAAAAAAATACGTCGAACGTCAATATCTTTCAATCAATTGAATTTTCTACGGGAGAAGGAAAATATTTTTAATTTCCTATAAATATTTAAGCAGATAAATGATAAAAAACAAACAGTGTAAAACCAAAGATTCTTCCATATTTTAAACCAGCCGGTGTATATTTGTATGAGATTGGAGACTTTTTTTTGCGAATCTCGCTAATGAGCGCCATCTGATTTTAGTGTGAATTAGATGCAAAAACTGAATTTAATTCTGTAGCATTGAAATGAAAAAGTGAAAAAACAACAACAATAGCACGGCCACACAGAGCTGTACATCTATGCGTGCTGATGCATACATACACATATACGCTTTCTTCATTCTTTCATTCCATTGCTATACGTATCTCACTGGTCAACAGATCTATGTAGCCATGTTACTGTTGTTGTTTTTTTTCTCTTTTTCGATTCAATTCATTGTAACTAAATTGAGTTCAACTATGGAATACAAGATGGCACAGATGAGGGGAATTCGCATTTTGTCTCTTCATAGGCTTAGCCGGTTGTTTTAAACATAGCTTATTTTATTCTCTAATATTTTTATGCGCTAAACTGATTGAGGAAAACAATTTTTATTCATTTTCCGTATCAAATGTGGGTTTTTAATTTAAATGAAATGTTATTTGGTGTATCTGCTAGTATTTTTCGCAATGCTAAATTTTGCTCCATAATAGGTAGGCTGGAAATCTTTTTATTGTTTTTATTGATTTATTTCATTAAATGTTAAAATTATTTTTATGTAAATGTCACTTTGAATTAGATTCTAATAAGGAAATTTCAAAATTTTTGAGACACATTGTCGAAGAACGATAAAAATAATAATACTATAACCATAATCACTATAATGTATCGGTAATATCGGTGTCATTTTCGTCTACATCCATGGGCTCTTGTTCACATTGTTGTTGAGATCGTTTTTGAGCTTCTGACGGTGATGATGTCCAGTCAGGTTCAAAATCCGAATATGGTTTCAACGCAGTTCTCAGAAATGAACTTGTCCATTCCTCTTTCATAGCTTTCAATTTGGAAATGCATAATTCCAAATGTTGTACAACATTTCGAAAATCAATGTCATGACAAATGTGATTGATGAAATCTAAGTTCACATAGAAAAACTCTTCACAAAATGGGCACATTTTGGTATCTAAAATAATTAAATATTTTAAATTTTTACATTTTATTTATTTATTTTAACTAAAATATGTTCACCTGAAGTTTTCAGCAACCCACAAATGTATTTTTTATTTTTGAATAGTTAACGGCGATTTTTTTTTACCTCCTCAACAATGGTTTTGTATATTGATTCCAAGTGGTCACAATCGTCTCTAATATTTCTTATGATTTCTTTGATTTTTGTGATATAAATGACTATAAACAAAAAACGAAAATAAAATGCCGTGAATTTTGCTGAAAAATTGAATCCAACTAAATAACAAATATTATACCGGTGTAAATTCAAAGGCAATCTGTCAAATATGAAATACAATTTGAAGTGTATTAATTGTTGTTAGTATTAAATGCGGCAATAGTCGAGTTTAGTTGCATTATATGCGTATCCCACAAACCAACTGTCAAGCGCTCATATTGTACTTATTACATAGACAATAGCACCTTATTCGATGCAAATACACACAGCAATGATTACGCTGAATGCACTACTATACTGAAAACAGAACAATTGAACGCAAATGGTGAAACTTCGAAATTTACCCAGAAGAAAAAACAACAACAAAAATTAAAATTCAACACGATCAAGTTATGGCAAAATAGTAACGATTTTTTCTAAAACACCATACTTTGAAATAATCAGATAAAAAATATTAAATAAGTAAAGTCATCATAAAAAATGAAAAGAATTAGAAACATCCACAATGTAGTAGTTTATAGCAGTCTTTTCACATTAGAAAAGAAATGAAACATATTAAATGCTAAATTAGACAATTCAAACAAAATTTCTACTTATATAGCATAAAATAAAAATTTAACAGAAACAGAGATGATTTATTTTCTAAGATTTTTGAAATTTTAACGTAAAAAATTATTGACAAATTAAAATGAGCATAGTTTTAGGAATCGAATGAAAAAGAAAAAACCTAGTCGTGTTTGATTTCATTTATTTTAATACGAAATTCTGAAATATATTTTTTATGTTGAAAAACATTCAGTTAAAAAATTAAAGATATTGCTTTGGTTTTGAGATGAACCTTTTGCTTAAAACGACTTTTTTCGCCAGTGTTCACATTTTTTTAATTCTATGATAGTAGATGGTAAAATAAAAATGGTATATTTTAAAATATCATTACACTATATTTTTTAGAACTAAAACTTGAAGTGATAAATATTTTTTTATAAAAAATAGAAAAAAATACTATAGTATAGTATACTTTGATAATTCGATGCAGTGCTCAAAGTGAGTCACCTGCTCAACATTTAAATTTTTTATTCAGTTAAATTTTTACTAAATTTCAATTATTGTCTCCAATTCAGGTAATCAAGGCAATTTTTCAATGTAATTAAAGTTTATAAAAATCAATTTGAATTTAAATTTTATTTAGGTTTTTTTTTTATTCATTATTCTTTTTTCAGTGTTGATTTTTTCATCCGAATTAAAAGTAAAAAAAAATAATTCAAAATGATAATATTCGAAGTCTTCGAATTTGAGAATTTATGCTTGTTTTTGTAATAAAAATCTATTCTAATGCATTTCAATTGTGTTACACATAAAATTTCCTTTGTTGAGACATTTTAAACATTTAATTTTAAATAATCACATTTGTTCTGTTATGTGTAAGACATATTTATGTTCGTCATTATCTCAATACGGCGTTTGTGTATCGATAATTGGCCACTGCATTTGAAACAATTGTCAAAAAGTTAATAAATTCTAATAACTAATAATGAAAATGGTACAAGAATTAAAGGCAAGTTTCGTAATTGTCATCGTATAAGTCCTTATAATCGATGTAACAATAGCTATGACTGTCGTCCCATGCACCTAATGGCATTATAATATCGTCATAATTTGGACCACTGTGAAAATTGTTAGTTTCTGGAATATTTTCCATTTTCTTTCGTCGAAAAACTAAAAAAAATAGATAAACATTTTTTCATCAAACTGAAGGAATTCCATTTACATTACTTACCACAAAAACTGCATATTCCAATCAAAATACTGACCACGGTCAATGTGAATACAGCAATATGTATCCTATTTATTGTGAGCGCTGGAACGATTCGTTCGCTGAGTAGACTGTATTCGCTCCAGCCGTAGGCGTTTCGTGCTTTTACTCGGAACGAATACATTGCAATATCTTCCAAACCTTTCACTTTCCAACATGTATCTGCTCCTCTGTAGAAAACAGTCCATGAGTTTACTATTGGTTCTGATTCATTAACCGTTCGAATTCCTTCCAAGCTATATTCTATAGCACTGTTACTTTTGACCGCTTCCCAAATAACTTCATACTCATTGTTTTGGGTCATTACACATGGTTTGCCTGGGGCAGTCGGTAGATCCGATTTAATGATTTCTGGGGTTGAAATGGTGAATGGGCGACTTTTGCTATATAATTCTTCAGCCGTGTAGGCCAGAATCCAAACAATATACAGATGATTTGGCAGCATTTTAATATTCGTTGAAGTAATGTCACCTTTCACGGAAATTTTTAATGGATTTTTGTTCATTTTAAATTTGTTCTTTGTTGTATACTGAACCTCATAGAATATAATTTTTGGCCCGTTTATTTCAATGGGTTGTAACCAACTAAGCTGGATTTCACATAAGTTCGGTTCACAGTTCAATCGTGACTCAGTTATTCTTGCTTGAGACGGTGCGCCAACTTTTGTTTTGAATATTAGTGGTCGCGAAAATTCAATACTCATGTTCGTATTCACTGTATAATAATTACTCATGCTCACTTGAAACTGATATCTGGTAAATGGCTTTAGATTGTTAATTGTAATCTCTTGATGATTTGTTTCGATGATGTGACATGTACTTGGTGAACAATATTGTGGATTCTCCTTTTGTAACTGTGTGTACATGATTTGATAAGTCCAAAACATTGGTACGAACGAACATCCCTCAAATAATTTTGGAACCGGTAACTTTAGCAACAACGCTGTATCTATTATTTCTTTGGCGACGAAATTTTCCATTTTATTAAAATCTGGAAGCAAACAGTGAAGTGACGGATAATACTGTCGATAATGCGCTAAGATTTTCATTTTATAGAAAAAAATATGCTCGTATGGCTCTTGTTCCAATTGATTTTCGGCATAAATTTTGTTATTGTGCGTCCAGTAAATGCGACCACCATCGTAAATAAGGTCCATCATATTCGATTGATATGTAAAATTCACAGAGGTTGATGATTTCATTTGAATATCGAGAGACATCAAATTATAGTATTCACTTAACCAAAACAATTTCTTCTCATGTCCTAGAAATAGTTGTTTATTCATTATAACGATAAGCTCGTCATCCAAATTCAAAAATGTTGAAGGTTCTTCTTCATCAAAATTATATGTAGCCAATGATCCATGTATTGAACTGACGGTCTCACTGTATATCCAAAAAAGTTGCCGATTCATTGGAGCTACAATCAAACTGTCCGTGAGATACGGCGATTGAGCAATTTGCTTCGATTCCTTCGTATATAAATTGAATGCGTTGATCGTGCTACCTTTGGACTCTAACTGTGACCAGTAAACAATTCGTTCGATCCAATCAACAGTCAACGAAAGCACCAGTGCATTCATGGAATACAACTTCTTGCGATCGTCTCGACTGTATATTATTAACTCGCTGTTTTCATTAGTCCAAAATAACTCTTTGTTGAATGCAATGTAACAGAAATGCTGTACTTTGCTACCAGTATTCACATATGATTTATGGAGCTTCAAATCAAAATCAACGATATAAATTGTATCATTATGGGCGGCAAAAAGGCGTGGAATTGGATTCTCATTTTGCGTATTGATACTCATCAATGTTGAATAATTTCCAACGCCGGCACGTGTTTCGGCTCTTACTTTACAGTAGAATGTGGCATTTTTCTCTACTTTTTCGATGTATTTCTCATTTTTTCCGGGTTGCATTTCATAATCATTGTACTTCTCGTGATGGATATTGTCTTTTACATACCAACATTGTATTTTATAGCCAATTAGAGGCCCATTAACTGATTTCGGAGTATTCCATCGGAAGATCACATCAATGTCCAAATCATCCTTCAATGGATTATGCACGTGTTCGACAAAAAGACGTGGTTCCAATGGTTCGGATGGCGGTGCCGATGGTGAATATACGATTTTCTTAACCGCCACCGATGATGCCCAGTATGTAAACGCCTTAATTGTTACATTCAATTGGCTGTGAGCTGGTATTTTATCGTCTTTAATTTCGAAGAACGGTCTTTTTTCAACGACTGTTTGATTCAAATATCGAATTTCATACGAAACTTCACCGTAATTCACTGTTTCGATTGGTTGCCAAATGATTGTAAAGAAATTCCATTTGCCTGTCACTTGAATGGTCGATGAATTTACCGCCTCAGGAATAACATTCAATGGTTCATCCGATTCGGGAATATTTCGTTGTGTTTTATCGATGACTAGAAATGCTCTCAAATCGCTCAATTTAATATTTTCAATGTGTGCCAAATTTTTGCCGGTCAAATTTCCAACAACAATCTTATGATCATCTTGAAGCCACATTAATCGATTGCTCAGATATGCCAATGGTCCCAGAATTTTATTTTCGGTCAATATAAATTCTTCTATCACAACGGTGCTGTATTCATCATAAATCAATGGTGCAATCGCCAACATTGCTGACTCATAACCGCGAATAATCCAATAAACTCGACTTGTATCAAAATCTAATGTCAAACCCATCACCTTTTGTCCGGTAAACGATTCAATAGTATAGAATTTTTTTCGGTTTTTATCATTGCAATTTAAACGACAATATTCCACCGAATTTCCAGTTGAAAAGTACAAATAACCTCGAATCGCATCGATTTTAATGTCAACTTCAACGGCAGTTAATGCGAATAAAATTTCCGATTCGAAGTTGATGAGATTGCCACGAGTGAGCACCTGATGTAATGGATTGAACCAATATAAACGGCGACCGATCCAATCAACAGCAATCGCTTGCACTGAATCTTTGACGTCCAACTTTTTTGTATCGTTTGTAGTTCGATTGAATGAATACAATAATTTGCCACAAACATAGTATAAAATATCTTCGAACCATTCGAGATTGGAGATATTGCATGCGTTTAGTGTTAGTTGTGGAATCAATGTATGCATCTTCTCGGCCAATATGTCGCTTTGAATGAGCCCATCGTGCGATGACCAAACTATTTCACGATTGTCCGCTTTTTTCAATGTCTGGCCCATGTACTCAACGCTATAAGGACCTGAACCGGCATTTGTGTAGGCGTTAACACGAAATCGATACTTTGTATTCGGCTTCAAATCGGACACTGTGTAGTGAATCGCTTTAATTTCTTTCAATGTTTGATTTATGTTGGTGTTTTCTTCATCGATGACCTCTAGTTTGTATGTCCAATCTTGCCATGCACCTCGACTTTGAATACTCGAAAGGTGCGGGATGTGCCACGATACCTTTGCCCGATCAACACTTAACAGCGCCTGCACGTTACTCGGCGGATTCAATGGCTTGGGTGTCGGTTGAGCTGATGGAAACATACCAAAAAATATGAAATGTTTCAGCTGCGCAAACTCTTTGTAAATACTAGTGTAATAGCGATCGCTCAATTCATGATATTCTTCTGTTAAAATATGCGAACCATTTGACCAATAAAATAAATCATCATTGGCCAATGCAAACGATTTGATCGAATGAAACATTGGTGTTTGGGTATTGTTGCGAATGTCTATGTATTTATCACTATTCGAATCCATTGATATCGATATTACGGTATTGAGCTCTTCAATTGGCGCCAATATCTTGTAGTTGGTGTAATCGATTGTAAATACACCGATATCATGTTGATTGAATATACGTGTTGGCTCGATTTCATGTTTTACACCATTTGATACATCGCTTAAATCAAAGCGATATAGACCACCGTCACTTTTACTACCGCTACTAAACGACCAAAACAAATATCTGCAAATGCCGCCATTTCACATAAAGAGAAGAAGAGGGAGAAATAAAGAGAAATACATAAAATTAATTTGGTTCAATTGTAACAATTGTGTATACATTACACACCCATTGAATGGATCCACTTGAAAATGAATCGGTTTCGTTTGAAGTACACCGTACACAACTTGTAAATGGCTGCCATCAAAATTACAACGAGAGATTTGCCAAGCTTTTTGATTCTGTACAAAAAAAATATTACGAATAATTTTATATGGACGTTAATAATGTCACCGGCGGTGTCAAAAAACTGATGAAGTTAGTACCAAATTGAAAGCAAAAGTTATACTTATTTACCGTAGTATCACTCTCGAATAAAATGTAGAGTTTATTATTCAACCAATCGACAGACAATCCCAATGGACCTTGATTCGTATTTTCTGTTGCATAAATACGCACACGTGATTGTAATGTTGAATTGCTCAGCGGTGCTCTGAAAATAATTTAAAAAAATTAATTTTATTTTGTTCAATACCTAAGCGAAAAACGCTTGTATGTACGTACCTGTAAATATTGTGTGTATCGGCGATAAAAATCAATTTCTTTGCGACATGTATACCAATGCCAGTAATTACATCGCTGCTGTTGTAAATAAAAGTCGGTGTTTCATAGAAGAATCTCGATCCTTGCAGTAAAATTTGATAATCCGATGCGATGATAAGTTTAAGCGTTTCATCATCATGACGAACCTCTGGTTTTTCTGTTGTTGTAATGTTTACACTGGCTGCTGGTCCAACGCCGCGTTTATTTCGCATTCCTCTTTCCACGGTATAGTTTGTCAACGGTTGTAAATTTCCAATCAAAATTTCTTGTTTTTCATTCGGTATGTCCTGAAAAGTAAGAGACAATGCAATGCCAATTCGAAATCAATTATAACACGTATGCGATATGAATAATAAACATAAAATAAAACGCACACAGTCAACGCTAAATTTAAAATTGATTCTTCTGTGCCCAAAATTAATCTTTGTGATTTCATATATTCAGCATTTTGAAAAAATGCCACAAATAGCAATTTTTTAAATAAATACATAAATTTTAAACATGCCTATATGCTTACCTTGCTGTGGCCATATTTATTCATACCCATCGCACCATTCAGAGCATTTTGATTCTAGTTTAAAAAAATGAAGGAATTAACTAATACACAAAAAAGAGGGGAAAACGAAACAATGAAATTGATATCGTTGTTATTATTTATTCGTCTCTGGTCCGTTAATTTGATCTCTTAAGTAGTGTTATGCGAGAAGTACCAAAAATACATTCGGAGGTTTTATTCAAAATGCTGACGTTTACAGAGTTTGCTTTATTTTGAAAGTCGACCACCAACTGCAGCAGACCACACAATGACACGAATATTAAAGAAACAATAAAAATGAACTCACTTGATCTGATCTTTCGGTGCACGATTTTTCAATATGTTCCCCCGAAGAATTTCTTTCCAATTTAGCAGACAAGCCGCTCTGTATGCAAACATTGAACACAGTCAACACAATATGAATTGTGATTATGAATTTGAATTCATTCTTTTTCGGAGCAAACATGTTTTTAATCAATGCTTTGGATGAACACACTTGCTATTTAACTTTCGATTGTTCTTTGAATAATAAATTAAACCTATTTCACACGTTGATTTTTCATGTTATTTCCTCTTCATCGAAAATGAATCTACACTTTCATTGGAATATCTTCAACAAGAATTCATGAGAAATTCGTTTGGGTTATGCACTTTTAGAAGCATTTCACGTGTTCCACTTTAAGAATCTTTGAGTTTTAAAACTTCACTTTAAAAAATAACAAAAGTTTATTTGTGACTGATTCAAATAACAACGACTATTCAATTCAAAAAAATGGCTATCTCATTGCTACAGTCCAGCAATTGGCAAATTGATTGCACGCGCTGCTGTGATTTCGTTTAAAAAGCACCTTTCATGGATTTTCTCGTTTTGTCAGACTTTGTTTAATTTTCGATGAAGACACTGTGTCAAGATCATCAAATATTTCGTGTAAACTTACGACTGAACAAAGCGGATCAAGGTTAATAAAAGAAATTAAAAAAGTTCAAACGAACGCAACCGCAGTCAAATATCTACTAACTCCTTTTTAAATATAACGTGACTCGAACAAGACTCTGTATGTATGCAATATTTTCTCTTTTTGATTGCCGATCCTTCTAACGTATTCAGAACCAATATTATTTCTCTTTATCTGTCTCTCTCTTCGAAAGTATGTTTGTTTTTCGTTGAAACGGATTGCAAGCACTCAAACCAAAAAAATTGCTAACGTTAAACAAATGTCGCTAGCATATATAACACGAACGTGGTACAGGAGCGAGAGAAAGAGTAAACAAAACGGTATCACTTTTTACCGTCCAATACTCTAATAAAAATTTTGAAGTTCGCTAACAAGCACAACAAAATTTATTTCTTATAAACATTTTCTCTTTATTTTTGTATCACTTTCTCTCTGTCGAACCAATGTAACACTAAAGAAGTTAAATAAACATCCATTCGTGTTGCAAGATTATTAGTGACACAAATCAGTATGGAAAACAGGACTCAAATTACGAAATATATTACAATGTAGTGCGCGGGGAAATACCATTAGAGCGAGGAGTATAACCAATCTTTCAGTCTTCCAATGCAAGATCTATTGACATCCGAATAAAATAAACAATATGATATGTGTGTTTTGTTACTCGTATGTTTTCATGTAAGATTTAGATTTTGATTCTTTTCTTAAAGATGTAGCGATAGATATGGTCCAATTATAATATAATTAGATCAATTTGTTCAATTAAAAGACAATGATTTATCAAATAATAAACATGTATTTATATGAAAAACATAATAATAATACAGGAGTTTTTTTAAAATCAAATGCAAACATAATAACCTTAAGCTAAACATTCACAATATGTTGGAGTTTTTGAGTAATGCACTAAAGGCAACTTTGAACTCAATCGAATAAAATGATAAAAATGGTTGATTGGATAAATTAACGGCACCATCGGAATGGAACTAGTGTCGCACTAATACTGAATTATTGGATTATTGAATATTTCAGTCTCAATTAAATGAATGATAAAAAACAAACGGTGTAAATCCAAATATATTTCTTCCACATTTTGAACAAAGCAAATTTTACTCTCCCAAAAAATGAAGTCTTTTTAAGAATGCCGATCGACAGAAATTCTTGGCATCAAATGTGGTACTTTTTGCAATGTATGTACCCTTAATTTGAATATAAGAGTCTGCAATCTTTCGAATAAAATATAGTTTATGACTCTCGTGTCCTTTAAAATCTGTCTGCATGAAGATGCTGTCAATATCTATGCCATCAAATATTGCATAGTACAACGTATTGAAATTAATTGTTCCGTTCAACAGTTGTAGTTTTAAAAATCGATCCGCTTGCTTACAAATTGAAAAAGTTGATCGACAAGGTTTTTGAATACTTTTTGACATAATGAATGATCTCTCGATTTTAATATTTTCATCAAATATGTTTTTACAGCCTTGGCAATACTGTTCTGCATTTTTTATTTTTTGTTCAATTATTCCAGAGATATAGGCGATTGTCAAATCAGTTAAACCTTGATGTAAACCATCTTTTTCTATTTCATTTATATCGGCAACTTTTTCACATACTTCTTCCAAGTCTTCAGGTATATCAATATCATCAACATCATCAGCATCATCATTCTTTTCACCTTTATTGATTTTTCGTCGAGATGATACCCCAAAAATGTTGGAAATTGGTTTTGTGATAAGGTCTAGTTGTGGAGCACAATTCGCAGATTTAGAACAAAGTACTGTATCATATACCAACAATTTCCGATATGATGCACAAAAATCTTCAACGGTGGGATTATCATTGTATCCATAGTGTGATCTGTTTATAAAATATTTGTAGATGATTTATTAAATGGTGTATTTTACTGCAAATAAAATAAGAATGGTACACAAATTTCTCCCGCGGAAAATATATAAAAAAATATGAGCAAAGAATAGATAGAATTTTGTGCTCACCGGTTTTTTCCAAAAAACATTTCGAGGAAATCTTGGGATAGAAAATACGTTGGAATACACTGCAAAATTTTGGAATCTTCGACATATTCCTTGTACATTTCCATAAGTGAATAACTGTTGATGATAAAACCAAGAAAACCAGTTGGTCTTGTTGACTTTAAAATTGGTCTTACTTGCCCAGCAACTTTCCCAGTATTTTCCTTTAATTTCAATGTTAAAATGTAATCAATTGTTTCCTTCAAGCGATCGAAAATTAGATTTTTGTTGCTAGGACACAAGTTTTGTTTGAATGGATTTGAATGTTCAGAGGCTTTCGAATTGAAGATATCAAAAATGTCGTTAAAAAATTTAACGAAACGAATAGTTGCATCAGCTGATTTGAATTCTTCAAATCCTTCATCCTTCAAAAACTGCATTGAATTTGCGACGGAATCACTTAGTGTTTGAGTAGCCAAGTTTACTTTCATGCGTCTTTTTCGGAACAGCAAATGACTTTGGTGCATTTTGTGTGTAAGAGCGAATCCTTTTTTTTTGAATGCGACCAAATCTACGAAGTATTGCCAATTAATTTTTTGATTCTGTGTTTTTTCAAACATAATTTGTTTATCACCAAGTGTGCTGCGTACTAATTTTTCCATATGACAAGCATCTAATAAGATATAAATTCGTTGGCCATTCTTCGCGAAAAAGTATGGTTTAAATGTTGACGAATTAACATTTATGTCGGCTCCAAGCAATCTACACAGGGCCTTATTCGTGACTAATCCATCAAACACGATGTTTGAAACTCGAATGCCAACTTCAATAATTGCTTCAATCACTGCACTTAGCAGTTCTTTTTTCTGAGGTGCTTTCATTGATTCGATAAAATGATAAGCAACCGGTATTTGAAAGTTTTCGTTCAAACCAGTCACCATAAATACCAAAACCTGTGTAGCTTGTGGTGGTTTGTCGTTGTTGCCTGAACCATAGGTTACGTAGCCAAGCAACTTCTTTTGGGAGTTACTCCATTTCACTTGCTTTCGTATGTACATTTCATCAAATGACAAAGAAACAACGAGCTCAGAACCACTGGCTTTTTTGGCATTACATTTCTCCCGCAGGACATTCAGAATAATTTCATGGATACCGGGTTGACAATTCATATCAGAGTGTTGATACCAAGCGCGCAGGGTGGATGGATTCGGTAGATGGTTTTGAAATGTTTCACGAACAAATCGATATGCTCTGGGACTATGAAAATTAAGTGCGAGTGCAAATCTACGTACACTTTCAGTATAACGATGTCTGGCTGGAATTCCATTCAATAAACATTTCACAAGCTCAATTTTTGAATTGTCCTTAATGGTAGAAAAAATTATTTTGTTCAATTTTTACGTGAATAAATATATATATATAGATACAAAGACAAACTGAATTACATTTGTATTATAGTGCAACGTTTTTGCAATTTCCACTTCTTTTTCTAGCTCAGCTACTTTGGTATTGGCTTCTTTGAGACGCTTTTTCAAATCTATGATTTGTTCCGATTGCTTGCAACTTTTCTCTTTTGACGTCACTGTAGTTTTTTGAAGTAAGACATCTTTATCCAAGTTCGTTATCTGCATTTGTTTGAATTTGTCTTCCAATGCGATACATTTTTGGCAGATTGAATTGGGACATACATCAATATTTGGTATTTCATTATTTGCATCCAATAAATTGTTATCCGTGTCTTTTGTGCAATCTTGTGACAACGAACTAGGGATTGCGTCTTTAACTAATTTTTGTCGATCAGATTGCTTTATAATCTGAGATGGCTTGAAATGTCTTTGACATACTCGACCAATACCATTGCATTTTTTGTTGTTTGCTTTTTGAATAATTTCAATCCATTTATTTTTCATTAATTCATCGTTCGGAAAGCTGAAATAGTCATTGTATTTAAATTCACAATTTAATATGCTATTCACATGAATACGAACTTAAACATAGAAATGCTTTGATCTCTTGTTCCTAGAAAATACGGACAACCCCGGAAAACACATGATCGTTGGCTCATTTTAATATTCTTTATTTG